TGGTTTTGTTAATCAAATCTCGAATGCTGCTTTCTTTGTGCTTTTAGGAGTTCTAGTTATCTTTAACTAATTAGCAAACAGATACATTAAGTTACATATTACGGGGACTAAATAATTCCAGAAGGTTAGGTCTTGCCCTATTTCGCAGCTCTTGGCTGAGCCCAACCATTGTAGGGTAGGACCTCCCATTCGAAGAATTATCTGGTCTTAGGGATATGTAATGGTATTCACGAGCTAGTTAGGTAAAGGTAGCAGGGATTTCTTATGCAGCTGATGACGGAGAGTAGGTTGGAGAGTTACTCTAGGGTAAGCCTAGGATGAGATTAGTGCAACAAGTAGTAGTAGTGAAAAGGACTTGGTGAAGTCAAGGAAATCCTTGAGGAAAGTACATATATATGTGGAAGGTAGTATAGGCCCGTACTACTGAAAGTAGAGGATCCGTACTCGAGTCAAGGAGGGCTGAGACAGAACCAGGGAACTTGTAGAGTGTGAGACCTATCGAGGTTATGTATGACCCTGATGATTATGTGTTTTGTTTCAGAATGGTGGTGAAACATAATGGAGTAAAAGGTTTAAGGTTTGGGTCAGGTTCAGGTTCGGGTTCGGGTACAGGTTCCGAGTCGGTTAATGAAGGATTACACGAGTTCCTCGCGTCTGAGATTATGAGAGGCATCCTTGAGGCAACCCCGGTGATTTTCGGGTCGATCAAGTAAGGGATTATTGAGCTGATGGAGGATCGCCTTAGGGGATTCCGGAGTGACATGGCATCTAGCCAGTCAGGGATGTGCATGCTCTCCTTCAAGGATTCTAGGGGATGTGTTGCACCAAACTTTCACACGGTGAAGGAACCCATTGTGGCCAAGAGATGGATTGCATACATCGAGTCTGCATAGTTGACAAGCTTCTGACCTGAGGGGTCGAAGGTCTGGTATGTTGCGGGATGTTTGAGAGACAGAGCTAGAGATTGGTGGGAGGCAGTCAGTGATTCGTTGGGAGCCCCAGCTATCGAGGCTATGACCTGGTCGGACATTGTGACCAGGTTTAGGGCTGATTTTGCGCCATCTATGGAGATTCAACAACTAGCCAGGGAGTTTCTTGATATGAGACAAACGATTGAGTCAGTGGCGAAGATTACCACCAAGTCCAGGAAGAGGGCCTTACTGGTGCCTCATTATGCGGGTGACAAGGAGATGAGGAAGACCCAGTACCATGACATGTTAAGAGCTGACATTCGGAAACATGTCAGCTATTCAGCATGTCCGATATTGGAGGATATGATAGCCAGAGCGAGGGGGAGGGAGATTGACGTAGAGCACCTCAAGAAGAGGAAAGCGGAGACTTGGCAAACGAATGGGGTTTCTGGGAGATGAGGAAGACCCAGTACCATGACATGTTAAGAGCTGACATTCGGAAACATGTCAGCTATTCAGCATGTCCGATATTGGAGGATATGATAGCCAGAGCGAGGGGGAGGGAGATTGACGTAGAGCACCTCAAGAAGAGGAAAGCGGAGACTTGGCAAACGAATGGGGTTTCTGGGAAGAAACCCAAGGGATTCAACTCGAGGTCGAAGAGCCAGTAGGGCCGGAGCCGCGGTGGGAAATGCAACATGCGACATGGGGGAGTGTGCAGGGCTGGGGGATCGGGTTGCTACAAGTGCGGTAAGACCGGACACTTTAGCAAGGATTGTACAGCCCCTACCCGTTCAGACATTAGACTTGAATTGCTGTAACACCCCATTTATTTAATAAATAAATAAACAAATTAATGAATGAATAATTGCCTTATAATTTATAGTTATATAGTAAGGTGTGGGTCTCGAGGAGTTAACTGTCATAATTTTAAAAGGCGAGGATTAAAGTGTAAAATCCGGACTTAATTAGTAAGTAATATTGAAGTCAGGGGTCGCTTGGTAACAATTAGGACTCGATATGAAAGGAATTATGAAAACAAGGGCTAAAGAGTTAATTAAGGACCTCATTTAAAAATAATTATAGAGGGTGGGGCCACTTAGTAAAATATGGGACTTATTTTGTAAAGGAGTTACATGGATGTGGTTAAAAAGGTAAATTTCGGATTTATTTTGGAAAAGACAAGGGAAGGAGGGACCAATCTTGTCAAAATCGGATAGAAGATATAGTAGAGACGGGTTTAAACCCGTCACTAGCCTCCCCTCCCATAAACATGAAACCCCAACCCTAATATTCAACTTATTCTCCAGCCGCCAACCTCGTGTCCAGCCGTCACCGTTCCGCTACCGACGAGGGAGAGAAGTCGATGACCGTTGTCGCCGCACCTCTACCTTTCTTCTTCTCCTCATGTTCTGTCTCCGTTCGTAGTCGTTCATGATGGTCGCCGTCGTCTCAATTGCCCTTGCTCCTGACGTGACTTCGCAGCAGCCGGTCGCCGCCGCTTCCGCTGCCGTTCCATGCGGTGGTTTCTGCTATGTTTTGGGTGTCATCGCCACAGCGAGGATAACTCAGTCGGGTGGCTTCTTCGTATTGCATCTCGTGTAGTGCGTGTATCGACTTCAAGCCGTGTGTGGGAGATATTGGCTGGAAAACACATGAAGACCACCATGGCAGCCAACCATGGTGGCTGCCGCCATCAACACCGTCGTTTATTGCTGTTGGCGCTGCCGTGTGCCACCGGGTGGATGGCTGGGGTCGTGTTGTGGACAAATAGTGTGCATTGTGGGTGTTTGTCAAGCCGGAAAGTCGAGTACGGTCACCACCACTACCGTGAGGTGGTGCCTGCCACAACTTACCACCACCGGCCACCACAAGGGTGGCTATGTGTGTGGGTGTGTGTTATTAGTGTGTGTATTATCGAGTTGTACATTGTAATGGTGCCAAAATAATAATAGAAATCTCAAACCACCACCGTGGGGTGGTGGCTGCCGCCTCCTACTGCCACCGGTCGCCGTGTCGGGTGGTCATATGCTTAGTTGTGTTGGGATTGCTTGTTGGATGTTTGGACAAAGGACTAAAACCCTAATGAGCCTATTAAACCCTAATGGGCCCAATGAAACCCTAATGGACCTAAAAGCCCAAACATGTGACTAATGGGTGTAAAAACCCTAATTGATCTAAGGAAAACCCTAATGGGCTTAAGGACTTGGTTTTGGGCCTATTGGGCTAAGATGGGAGTGGAAACCCTAATTAGGGTTTAGAAAACCCTAATATTGGATTTATGGGCTTGGACTTATCGGGACCCACATTTGGGCCGTTGGAATAGAAGTGTGTATTAAGCCCAATCACACCATATGAGTTATTTAGAAGAGTAATGGACTTAATGGATTAAGTCCTTAATGGGTTAAGTGAGAAACACTTAACCCTAATCGTTGTATTATGTGAAACCCTAATTTCACTCGGGTTTATTGTTGGACCTTTCTATTGGACCTTGATAATTAGGTTATTAATGGGCCATCCAAGATCAAGCAAATGGACTAGAATAATTAATATGCCATACACTTTGAATGCAATATATTATGAACAAAAAAATCTAGATGAATCCTAATATAATTAAAATACAATACAAGAATTAAGGTTACATACCTTTGATTTGTTATAGCAAACAAATCACTTCAATCTTGCCTTTGAGGAGCTTAGAAAGCTAGCACCAAAAGGATGATGTCTTTAATGGCTCACATTCAAAATCTATAACTAGAAGACAAGTGAGGAGAGAGGAGGAGAGGTATAATTTTTGTTTATATGCCTCTAGGAAAGAGTAACCACAAAAATCCTAGCCCAATGGGTCCTATTTATAGTTTAGGTAACTTGAAGGCCAAGGCAGAATTTTAATTAATTAAATCATGGATTTAATCACAATTCAAATCATTTCCTTATCGGCATCGAGGAGGCTTCTGGAAACCCTATAAGGAATCCTAAAACCATGATGGTTCTAGAGTTGTCTTTTTTGTTCAACTACTAAACAATAAAAATTTAACCCTTATGCCTTTAATTAACTCCAGATTAATTCTGATTAATAATTAATCAATTCTAATTGATTTCATATTAATTTATTAATGATATAAATTAACAAATCAATTATTTAACAATTGATATCATATTAATTTATTAATCACATAATAAATTAACAAATCAACTATCGAGGATATACCATTGTCATGGTGGAACAACCACGTCAAAACCATGGGAATTAGCATAGCTAATGCCATCTCATAGGATGAAGTGAAGTAGTTGATGATGGATGAGTACTTCCCCAAAGAGGAGATGCAAAAAAAGGAGCAAGAGCTTTCACCGTTCTTCCTCGACTTTCATAGCCACGTTCATTACAATTTCAAAACGTAAATTTTCCTCTATTTTATTTTTCCTTCAAAAATATCTCATGCATGCATAGATTTGTCGGAGCATATTCAACATAAGATACAAAATATTGTTGTCCCAATGGCGGAGCTAGTAGCGGGGCAACGCGAGATGCTGAGCCCCCTCCAACTCTTTTAACCATTTACTAATAAACTAAAATCCAAAGCCCCCTCCATCTATTTTAATTCGTAAAAGTCAATGTATCTTTTATTTAACTGCGGCTACTTGATCATCATTAAGAAGGTGTTGCCATTTAAACTACACCATGATTTCATTCTCCAATCAATAATATGTAAACTCTAATTCTTATAACATATTTATTTTTTGTAATTTACCATTAGTAATTTTATTATGATTGGTAATTTGGGTTTTATAATCATAGGGTATATCATAAATATCGCTTCTTTTTTAAATGAAAAGATGTTTATGAACCTCAATTGTATCATGTTACTGGTGATATTAGAGAAGATGTTTATAATTAATGTTCTCAACCAAAAAGGAATGATAATATCGACAACCCAATTTGTGTTCAACCTGAAAAATGATATGTCAAATTTAGGACATTTAGATTTGATTCTTTGATAACTGATCGTGGAGAACGTACAATCTTCAATCTTAAATATTCCTAGTAACCAATAATTTTTTGATATGTTATCATTTAAATTGGTAGTAGGATTGATAGGTTCAAAAGATAGGAGGATATTTAATTTCTCTTATTTTTTAGTATGTTATTACAATGTAAGACCGGCATGTTCTTAAACCCCGGCTCTGCCCTTGTTGGCCCTACAACACAACACAGAATATGACTATTATATAGTAATACAAAAGACATAATAAATAATGGTATTACACATGTTTCTTCTGCTTTCTATCTCGCCACTAAAATTGAAACTGATTGCCCATTTATAGAGCCATTTCTCAAATTATCATCTATTGCCGAATCCACCGCGTGTCTCTCAATGAAGAACGCTGGTCGTTTTGGCTCAGGTAGATGCATATTTTCATTTGTGAGCATGGAAATAACTTCAGACATGGTTGGTCTGTCCATTGCATGATCTTGAACACACAAGAGACCTACATGGATGCATGTCATTACTTCCTTGGGAGCGCATGAATCTTCCAGTAAAGGATCCATCAACTCCAAACCTCTGCCTTCATTCCACAGTTCCCATGCCTGAATTAGTTTAAACATTTATGCAATATCGAGTTAATGCTTTTCCTTTCAAACAAAAAGTAAACGTGTCCCACATGACAAAAATCAGTCCTGGATGGATAGGATTAACTTACATGTCCAAGAAGGTTGAGTGGGTGTTCAGTATCATAGCTCCCATGATTCATCTTGCTGCTTACAATTTCAAGCAACAAAACACCAAAACCAAAGACATCTGTCTTTGTTGAAACTGAGCCTTCTAACATATATTCTGGTGGCATATAACCACTGCATATTAAATCAAGAGTTATTATTTGTGAGTTTGTGTTAGGAACTTTTATTGACTATTGACAGAAGATAAGTTATGAACTCACCGTGTTCCAACAACTCGGCTTGTATTTGCTTCAGATTCATTAATCCCAAATAACTTAGCCATACCAAAATCTGATATTTTTGGCTTAAGGTAGTCATCTAGCAAGATGTTACTAGCTTTCAAATCTCTATGGATTACCCTTAGCCTTGAAAACCTATGGAGATATAGGAGTCCTTGAGCAATGCCATCAATAATTACAAAGCGGTTATTCCAATCCAGTGGTCCTTTCTTCCTAGAACCTGTTAACAAAATGAGTAACGGAAACCAAAGAAATAACGAAGGCCAAGCAAATGTTTTAGGTCTTACCAAATAGAAAGAAGTCCAAGCTATGATTAGGCATGTATTCATATACAAGGATTTTCTCTTTCTTCTCAATGCAACATCCTATAAGCCTGACAAGGTTAGTGTGTTGAAGTTTGGCAATGAGTTCGGTTTCATTCTTGAACTCCTTGACTCCTTGTTCAGAGTTTCTTGAAAGTCGTTTTACTGCAACCTCTTGCCCATCAACTAATTTTCCCTGTGAAATTCCATCACACATGAGCTTTTATCTGGAATTTTATCATCTCTTAACAGTTTAATTACCTTATAAACTGCTCCAAAACCACCCTCTCCTAGCTTGTTAGTACTTGAGAAATTGTTTGTGGCTGAAGAGATGCTTTGAAAGGTGAAGTGGTGCAGCTCAGTGTTCATCTTCTTATCTGTTCGTATATAATTGTAGAAGCGCCTCAGTTGACTCGTCAGCAGCTTTTGGACTTTCTTGGCTTCCACTAATTTGTTAATTTTAAAGAACATTGGTTAGATAGGTAGAATATATTACAGATGTGTAATTTGGGCATGCATTATATGTAGAGCAATATCTATATATAGATATATCTAGTTTCTCTAATGATGGTAAGCTTAAATAATAATTGGATTGTACTGACAAGTTGTTGAAAGCAGAAGATAATTAAGGGACTATTGTATTTGTATAATTAATTAAGGAGAGTAGATCGAAAGATGAAGTCCATACCTTTAATACGAAGCTTCTTGTATAAGAAATAACATGATACGAGTGAAGCTAAAGATCCAATCCCGATGATTAAAATCAACTCCTTTTCTGCATATGAAGAAAACTCAATCTTTTTATACAGGCACACACTTTTATGCATTATTCATTGTGAAGGATGTATGAGTTGAGTTTTCAATATACGTGAAAGCGATAAGAGTATCATGTACTTACTAACACGTCCATGATAATTATACACAATGATATAATATTGGTTTTCAGCTTCTGGTAGATTGTATATCCTTTGACGGGATGGGTATCGGTAAGTTTCAGTTTCTTGTGGGTTGTATATCTTTGGACCATAAGTCGTGCACCCTGCCCTGTCTGTGGTTGCGTAAGTAAAGGCCATGCAAGAACATTTGTTCCAGCATATTCTTTGGCAATCATATAAACTCAAGTTATGGCTTTCATCATATTCATACTTATGATCCCCATATATGCTTCCATATCTCTTGTCAACGAAATACTCTTTCCTGCAACTTAACTCCTCAAACTCATATTCAGCACAACCAATGTCACTGATTGAGCGGCATTTGACATCTAAGTTAAGAGTCGAACCCTTAAGTCGACCGTCTAAAAGCATCGTCAGAGCTGGCGCTGAATGATACGTTTTTGCTAAATATGCGAAGGATAGCTCTGTCTCGTTAGATACATAGTAAGTGCGTACATCCGGACCGGTATATTGTAAACCGGTGTTTATGAATCCGCCGTTCTTCCAAGATCCACTCCTCCAGTGGATGTTCCCTCGCCTGACGATGACCATTTGACCGGTGCCATTGGAGTCTCCGGTTAATGTAAAAGAACCATCGGCTGGTAGGTTTTTTCTTCGCCATGAAGTGAGCGACCATCTATGCCCAGTCTTGTGATCAATCCCTAGTTTCATCCCAGGAAGAAGGGTATCTGTTGGGTAATCAAAACTTTGCCATAAAATTCGTTTAACAGACCCATCTGGATACAGTTCTTGCAGTATGAAATTTCCATTATCCAACAGTGTAGCACTTGCGTTGCGTCTTCCTGGAGTAGTAGGACTGAAAAGATCAACCACGGTGCCTCCGCCGGATAAGATGCTAAGTTTTCCATGTACGTCTATCATGAGCTTACCGTATATATCTGTGATTGGATTGTTTCTGTTTGCTACCCAAACTGGCTTATCTGTGTCATACACATTCGAATAAACATTTCGAATTTCTCTTCTTAAGGAGGGATCGTAGAATATCCCTAAATAAGGGCTTATGCTGGTGCCAAAGCTAAAGAACTTCAAAAAGAAGAACGTGTTTGGTGAGATCAGTTCATCCCAATCCTTGAGAATTTGACCTTGTTGTAAGGTATCGGTTTCTGAGTAGCTAGGACTGCTGAAAGAATAGCAAGATAAAGCGAGGATGAGCATCAGCAGTATACCTCTGTCAGCCATTGTTCCAAGGTAAAAACGGGATGACAAGATATGATCTTGTAGAACACTCTACAAAAAAGCTCTGGGGTAAGAAATGGTTTTTTTTTTTTTTTTTTTTTTAAATTGTTGAGGGCAATCTTTCTTGACTAGATCCTGCTCCTTTCGTTTTCTGTTACTTAGTCAACAGAAATAGACACCTCTTTAGTGAGCCTTGTTTCACAGGAAGCTCCCTATATGGACAGGAATTGAAGCATATCATGATTTTTAATTGGTGATACTTTGTAATTGTTAAGACCATTCGGTGGTCAACGGGTCAATGACAGTAACAGATATAGTATAGGGCCTTTTAGTGGGGTGCCACTTACCATTCATTGAGGTGTCTCCACGTAGCCCCGTACCGAGTAGTCTAAAACAGAAACTCCGGCCGCTCTATATATTTGAACCGATTCAAACCGGATCAGACCATAATGAAACTGAATTGGGCAAAATTGGTTTGTAAAAAAACCGATAGAAACTTAAAAAATCAAAATTTTAAAGATTAGTATTAGTAGCATGGTGTGTGTTTATGATTATGATTTTAGTGATATCAACATGTTTTAGTATAGCTACTATTAATATTTAGATAGCCTGAGTTATGTTTCACTCACCGAGATTGGAGGTATGGGATATACACTTAGAATGATAAATATAAGCTTGGGGAGGGGGGGAGGGGGGTCTAGAGGTAGTGCCCCTAACGGTTTTTTTATCATGAAATGGTATGGACATATATTTTCCCACCAAGAGGGTTTATGACATCATAATGATGTAATAAATTGTATGTGTCATATAACTACTTTTTAACCTTTATTTTGACGTCAAATTTGTATATAACTGCCATTAACTAATTTTCCTTTTTGTATAAGAACAATTTGTATGTTCGTGAAAGAGGGTTACATTTTCCTTATATACGAGAATTAGTTGTGAGACCCGTATAATATACGGGTTGATTAAAACAAAATGTTAAGTACAAACGATTAAATAGAAATTTTATTTGAATTTGAAATTGAAATAAGTGAAAACTATGAGAAAAAAACATGCAAAGAATAAATTAATTAAAATTATGTGTTTAGTGTACTAAACGGGTTAATTATAACAAAATATTAAACATAAAGGTTTAAACTGTAAATTTATTTGGAATTGAATTTGAAATTTAAAATTTAAAATTTGATAGTATTTATGGTAGGTTTAATTTATGGAAAGTAAATTAATGATATATTGAAAATGAAAATTAAAGTAATGACAAGTGGAAAATAAATATATCTCAAATTATGACAAAATGACATGTGGCTAATCTTATGAGAGAAAGACATGTGACAAAGTTATTTTCATTTATTAGAGTAGATCTTTATCAGATTATATCTAAAGAACACATAAAGCAAATGTATAATGTGTTTCTTAATTTAAAATTAGGCTTGTAACTCAGTTTGGTTTTCATTCTTGGATTATCTCACTTCTAAATCTATGTACCCCAGGTAAAAGGGATGAATTATAGATTTTAGAAAGTGTTCAAAACACGATCCTTGAAACTATCCAAGTAATATATATTGTTATTCTAATTCCCTAAATTCTAACAGCATGGAAGCAAAATCATAGTTTATCTATTCCCTTGCAATTCTTTGTTAACGTTTTGCTAACCCTCTAATAATTATCTGGCTATTCGGGAAAGAAACTATAAAAAATAATAATAATAAAAATAATAAATCAAGTACATTATAACGTCCCAAAATTTCCGAGTAAAAAATTTCATTTTTAAATAAGTTAAAACCATTCATTCATTATCTTAAACGACGATTATAATAAAAGTATTCTCAAACATCAGAGTAAAATCATAAACGGTCAATTCGGAATAAATCTCAGGGGATGCAATGCGATCAAGTCGTCCCTTCCTTTTGAAACTAGAGATACCCGAAAAAAATTTAAACATAAAATGTAAGCCCAAAGCTTAGTGAGTTCCCCAAAATACCGCATATCATACATATAAGTCATCTCAAGGTTGTATCGGATCTATTTCACCCTTGAGTCTATTTCAACTCATATGTCAGCATAAAGTTGTATCGGGTCTATTTCACCCCACATACATACAACAAACAGGAATACAGACATACAAGAAGATTCACAAATACAACAAACACAACCAACCCTAGTATCCTATAGTATATTGAGCAAACTTACCTCAGGCCAGAGATAACTGAATCACACGTATTGTCACTACCAAGCTCCTTACACCGAACATATCGAAATTATCTTTAATCAATAATTAAGACAATTTCCTTCAATCCAAGGTCCAGTTCATATTCTATCATACCAATGGATATAAAAGACCATTTTACCATCCCCACATCTAACTCAACAACTCATCTCCCAAACCCCAAAAGACCCAAGGCCCAAAAATGGCCCATTATGGCACCTTGGTGCGTACGCCCCGCGTACCACCCTAGTACGCCCGACGTACGGTGCAGAAGTCCAAAAACTCCATTTTTAACTCTTATTCCTTTAAGACCAAATGTTCAAATCCTCAAGTTCAAGCTTAATGGACGTCTAGAGTCATAAAGTTCCTGACTTTATGACCTGGCATGACTAATAGAGCCCAACACCAAAGTTAAGCTTCCTTACATAACAAAATGACCAAGGACTCAGTTAAAAGTGTTTAATCCTTTAAGACTTTACATCCAAGGCTCATATCTAATTCTATTGGGTGTCACAATCAATAAAGTCATCAACTTGATGCCTTTGCCTGGCTCCAAGAAATCCAAAACCCAAATCTAGTCTACTAGTTTCACCAAGAGGTCAGCAACTCATACCTAGTTATTCCACAACCATCAAGATGCAAACTTTATGAACAAAGGACCTCAAAACATCAAAATGAACAACCTAAAACTTATGGAGTGGCATTTACTCTCAAGAATCAACTCATGGGACCAAAAAGCACAAAAACCCACTCACAAGCAAGATCTAACAAATGAACCATCAAGTTTGAAACTTTATACCTCCAAAAGATAGATTAAGGTGAAAAATGCCTGGTTTTACAAGCTCCAAGACCAGAAACACTTCTCAAATGAGTTCCTTCTTCTCCAAGGTACGTGCACCAAAAACACTCCAAAACACACAAGAGGCTCAAAATCTTCACAATAGGGCTAAGGTTTCGAGATAATTTCTTTAGGGAGATAGAGGTTAAATATAGAGAGAGTTTCCAGAAGTTAAGGTGTTATAACTCTCCCCTACATAAATCATATTTCATCCTCGAAATCATTCCTTACTACTTTTTCTGCCATCCAAATCAATCTTGCCCGTACATCTTGAATTCCGATTAAGACTAAAGATTCATCCCATACGGACGACCGTCTTCAAACCCCACCATCCAAACCCTATTTTAGCATAAATCACTTATATTTCTGAAAGAATGAATCTTAACACTCTACCCTCAGCCAATGAAAGAAAACCAATTGCTCTGCTTAAGAACTAAAAAAAACTACCTTACTCGTCCCAAGTGGAAGACCTCAAATCACAGCGTCAACCACTCAAAGCAGTAAACTTCTTGAAGACTGGAACCCATAAATTATTCCTTAAGACCGTTAATCATTCATTTGTCATACGCACCCCTAGTTCCTGACTATGAACACCACTCAACTGAGAAGAAGGAATACTTAAAATATACCGATCGTGAATTTCAACTAATCCAAAGCCAAAAGTCATGCCCACAAACCTGAAATGTACAGTTGACCTCCTGACAAGTCATCACCAACCCATTACTCCCATGAGCATAATGATGTCCAATCCAAGAACCTTGCATTTTATCAAAATCCATCATCAGCTCGGGTATACCTCCACCTGACAAGACACTCGAGGTATTACAACGAAGTCCATGACTCAAGATTTTAGAACTAATGCCTGACATCGGTAACCAAAATCCTAAAGAACAGCCCGAAACCAAATATGGTTCATAATGCAACCACTCAGCAAAGGGACTTCTGATGCACAAATAATACTCCCAACAACCTCTTACTAACCCCATGATCCAAATCAGTATGTTAGGAGTAAATGAATTTAAGGGAAAATATGATGAAAACACTAGAATCGCTTGTAGATTGAGAATTTGATGAGTAAATGAAGTTCATAATCATGAATGGAAACTATTGGAAAGATTTGGACTCAAAAAAACGAGGTGTTGTTTGATTCCTATATTGATGTATGGAATTAGTGGACATAAAGGCCATTTGGGAATATAGAATGGAATTGAGGATTATATAGTTAGATTATGTATTTACAATGAGATTAGTTATGGTTTCATGCACCTGGAAACTTTCATAAGAGTGTTTAATGAGTTAGGAACAAATTATGTGAATTTTAGAATGCATAATTGGAAATTGGACTAGTTACACTTTCATTTGAACTTAAGGATCATCATATCCTTAATGGTTTCAATGAGCACTTGATGGATTAAGTGGGGTGTGTTTGGATGATAAAACACCTCCTAATCAAGTGTGAGAACCTAAATAAATGGTACAAAGTGATCTAGAAAAGGGTCTTCAAGAACTATGCAAAGTAGGGTGTTATTTTGAGAACAAATGAGTTTTGGGTGTGTCCAAACATGAAAACACGGTCCATGGAGATTCATGCCTTCATTTCCATAGCCCGTGGAAGTCTCTGATTGGAGATTTTTTCTTCTTCATAACTTTTGCATACGGACTCGGATTTACGCACGATTTTAGCTGCATTCATATTTTTTCATGAGGAACAGATTAAAGCAATAAAATTTAGTAATGGCACCCTAAAAGGGTATTTTGGTCATTTTAATGACATATGTCCATATATGTTGTAGGTATTATTTGAAGAGGATTGTTCTTGGAAAAGAACTAGAAGAGGACTAGCTAACCTTCGTATGATTGAGGTGAGTACGTGGTGGCATTTTTCCTACTTTCGGGTACATGGAAAAGTGATTTTATGACAATGAAATGCAACGTTTTGATATATGAAGTATTTTGAAAAGAAAGTGTTTAATGTTTTTGGAAAGAATGTTTTAAGAGAAAAGAACATTTTGAAAGAAACCACTTGGGTTGTGGTGACTTGGTAAGGCATGTGGAAGATATGG